TATCTCAACTCGGTATATGAAATCCACCAAATTATGCAAAAATTCACTTAGTCTAAATAAACAATAAATTACAATTACAAATTATTACAATTAAATTAAAAAAGCAAGAAAAAAATTATGAAACATTCTTTTAAAAATATTTTCACAAAAACACAAAAATGTTATGTACCATAAATTACTTATGATGAAAGCTGGAACATGTTTATATACACAGTAATGAAAGAATCTAATTTATATAGTAATGCAACCAATTCAAATATTGAATTATCAGTTCTTTTAATACTGGATTAAAAAAACTGATTATAAGGAAAACTCTAAATATAATGCTACAGGTAATATTTTTCAGCAAAAAATTGTCCTTTATGAGCACACATCTATTTTAAAAAATATTAGTTTATTATTTTGTACCAACAGAACACCAACAAAATTTTCAAAATATTTTAAAACAACAAATTATGAGGAGATATTGACATTAAATAAAATCCTTCTTTTGCAAAGATATTAATATTTTTCTGTTATAAACCAAATAATTGCCATAATTAATTGAGCTAATTAAGTGACATAATTAATGATTAACTATTAAATAATTTGGTACTAGGAGGTAGAACCATCTCTTGTTAAATTTAATAATTATAATATTTACTAATTAATTTTGAATATTCTGCTTATATCTTACACAGCGGGTGATCGGTTAACAAACATAATCCGTTCCAAGACTTTGTTTGCTATCCGAATTGTTTGTTAACCGATTATCAATTTACTATAGGTTTATATGGGAATTTGATTAATTCGTTCTGGAGACCCCCAAAAAATAAAAAAATATATACTTTCTTACTATGTTTATTCATATGTAATAATAAAAATACATATATACACGGTCTTGCATTTTTATTAGTCGTGCTTTTCCGTTTGTGGGGGTTAAAGAATCTGTCCAATGTCAATTGCTTTTCCATCTTCTTCATGATTTTTCAGAAGTAATTAATAGCATTGTAATTGTAGAGATCTATAGGCCTTTTAACCTCAACCTGGTTTGGATGCCATTTTAAGACCGCTGTTCTGACATCCTCCCACTTCTTCAAAAGATCTTTAATAGCAGATATTGGCATAAATCTGCATTTTCAGAAGAAAACGTAAAAGAATTGTTTCTGTCAGAAATATAAAAGGCTGGAATTAGAAGGGAGAGTTTCAAAGATCGGGGAATACTACCCGATCAGTATATACTGGGTAAAACGTCGTTGTCCACGTCTCCCGCACTCCAAAAAGTTTTGAATTGTTGTGTGAGACAAAGGAAGACCAATCAGTATTCATTATTTACATCACTTCTTCTTGTGTTTGTTCAGTGAAGTGTTTGTTATCCGAACATGTGTTCATTGGTCCATCATAAAAATCTTTCGCAAAAGTGTTCGTTAACCGATCACCCACTGTACTATGTATGTCTGGAAGTGAAGAATCAGACGAAAATCCTGGTAATGTAATTGGCAATGCATCCACAACAGTTTGAATCCTGCTCCAGGCTGATTCTTTTCTTCCAGAATATTCTAAATTAATTAGTAAATATTATAATTATTAAATTTAATAAGAGATGGCACCTAAAACTTACCTCTAGTACCAAATTACTTAATAGTTAATCATTAATTATAGCCCTTAATTAGCTCAGTTAATTATAGTGATCATTTGGTCTGTTATTAATACATCAAGCTTAGTGATGTTTACAGATATATTTTTCTGTTAAATTTTATTTTATTATTCTTTTCAGTGTAAACAGTGAACTATGTGAAATAAAAATGCATACAATTTTTATGTACCCCTACATAAAAAGGTCATATACAAATGATTTAGATCTACTTGAAGTATGAAATCCTTGTTATGGTGACTCCTGGGTTACACTTCAGTCTGTTCCACATATCCCTGTAGGTTAATGCACAATTGCCATCTCTCTAGCAATTTCCATACTGCCTCACAAAATCACTTCTTGTGAGTGTCTTATACCAATCCCTAACAGCCTGATTTAAGGCTTTACTATCTGGAAATTGGTAACTATGCACAGGATTCTTCATCTCATGGAAGAGAGCATAGTCACTGAGTGACAGGTTGGAAAAATAGGATAGGTGCAAAAGCATGGTGAACCCCAGTGATTGTGCAGTCTATTGGCTAGTGAATATAGTGTATGGTCATGCATTATCATGAAATAGCAACACATTCCAAGACCAATTCATCTTTGTGACGGTTGGATTTTTCAGATTAACGTTCTCAGGGAGGAACAATAATGGCAACTGTTGTGACTGCTATTGTGCAGATGCCTATGCCCATTTCCTAAACATGAAGAATCCTTGCATGGTTACAAATTTCCATATAGTGAAACCTTTTATCAGGCTGTCAGGAAGTGGTCACTCTCTGTGGCAACCATTCCATCATCATTATGCCTTGTCAACCCAAAACATTGTTTCTGTCATTTTCTCAGCCAATTATGCTAAGCAGAATTTATTCAGTGTGGGGCTTCATTTAGGCTTGCATCACTTTGTCGTTTAATTTTAGGCATGTGGTAATAAAATCAAGATTAATCACTTGTCATCAACCATGCTTTGGGTCAGTTCACAACATATCTAAACTGTTTGTTGCTGATTCAAAGCATGTAGCACCCAATGCACACAAATCTTAAATAAGATCAGTTCATGGACAATTTGCAACAACTTAAAACAGTGTCAGCAGCATCTCATCCAAGGTTGTGTGATTGTAGTGATCAGTTCTGATACTCTTTGAATCATTTGAATCACTTTATGTTCATGGATGACCACTGCTTAAGCCCTTAAGTGTTTCATTGCCACATGCAAAGCCAGTCATCCAGTTGAACATAGCTGCATATGAATGAGCACCATTTCCACACACTGCCACTAAACACCTATGAATATTTGAATATTCACAGAATTCCTGCCCTCTTTCCACAAGAATCATGCAGTCCATCTCTGTCCATGGAAATTGCTCTTCATTGCATTGTCAGAGTAGTCACTGACCTATGACATTTCCCACAACCCCTATTATAAAGCTATGGGTACCATCTCACAACTAAACTACTTTCGAAGTCAACAATACGATTACATCAAATGACAATTTGATACCATCTGCTGGATCAAAATCATAGCCACAATCTAAATCATTTGTATGCAACCCTTGTACATAAAAAAATGTGTATATAATACATACTCATAAAAAGTTGGCAAGGGCTATTGCTCAACTTTCCCAGCAATCAAATAGGACGTCAAGGGGATCAAGAAAAAAGTTTGATAATTTTCAATTATACTATGATACAAAATTTAATTTATAACAAAAGCTTAAAAAGGAGTAATATTGTTAAATTTTGATACAAATCTCTATTTAAAAATTATTTAAGTTTAAAAAATAGCAAGACAAATAATTTTTATGTCTTGCTATTTTTTAATTTTGAGCAGGACATTAGCTCAAAATTAAAATTGTGTGTGGCACCATTTATTGAGATTTTACTAAAAAATAATTTTTATATTATTAATTATTATAAAAAGGCAAAAGGCTTCACTTTGATAGTAGAGATGAGTTTTAAAAAAATTATTGTAAATGCCAATAAAAAATAAACTTTTCATTAAGTCTGACTGAAAACATTATATACAAGTCCTCCTCTATTTTCCCATCCCCATGACCTCTAGGTCGTGGGGATGATAATAGATGGGAAAATAGAGGATTACCAAAATTTATCAATAATACCATCAAGTTTCACTATTTTTGGTTCACCCAGTAATGAGATTTAATGCAAAATATATGCACATACACACAATGTTGCAAGGGTTTTTTTCTTTTTACATTTTTGGGCTCCTTGAATGTCAAGACATCAAGAAAGGCAAAAGAATCAGAGGGTCAAAATTTTGACTAATCACCATACTTTCCCTATATTATATTCTATAACAGCTGGAAAAATAAAAATAATCTTATACATCTATTTTAGCTAATCTTATATAATTTGTATCTTTTAAGAAAAATATAGCAGACCCCCTATAATGCGGGTTCCTATAATGTGGCAAAAAAACTGCAACAGTATTCGTATAAAGACGCTAAAAGGGACTCGTAAAACGTCATCGCCGATTCATGTCGCAACAAGATTGGTCGAATCTGGACCAATAGTGGATGAGCAGCCGAACTACTTTCCGCAGTCCAGCGCCACGCTACAGAGTTTAGGCGGGTAAATTGAGTTTACTATCGTCTGTACAGTATTATATATAAATTAGGTACTGTAGATATAATTATATATTAATTATATATAAATTAAGTACTGTATATATAATTATATATTAACTGAATTTATTGTAACTTTATTATAATTATATACATACTTTCTGCTATCTAGCGCCACACTGCAAAGAGTTTAGGCAGGTAAGTTGAGTTTACTATCGTCTGTTCAGTATGTAAATTAGGTACCGTAAGTCTAATACAGTACTGTAATTTTATACATTTCTTGTGAAAGAAACATTTCTTATTCAACGGCCATTAAAATTATTTATATTAACAATGTCTCCAAAGTTCAACAAACTTTTTGCAGAAAAATAACTTATCAGAAATCGTGGCCGCTGTTTGGTGCGTTGCTCCACGACGAAAACAAGCTTAAGCAATGGTGACGTCGAACGGTGCACACTCGGTAAGTAATCCTACAATTTTTTGTTCATAGCATAGTTTATACGGATTATTCCCGAAAAATTATACGTGTTTTGGAAATGTTGAGTCGAATTAGTCTAGAACTGATTAATTTTATGGAAGAAAACCTTTCAAACAGCCGTAGTCCGTAAACTTCACATGTGTCGGGTTGCGATTGGCTCAGGTATTTAAGGATTCCTACAACGTGAAATTCGTATAACGTGGAATGTATCTACACGTTATAGAGGGGTCTACTGTATATGATATTTTACATATAAAGCATATATATATATAACAAAATATCAAATTCAAATAGAACTTTATTCAAGAAAAGGACATCTTACTTTGATTTTGGTCCTCCATCACTATCATCACCTAATGTATCTTTGTCAATTGTTTTCAACTGCGTAACCTAAAAAAAGAAAAACTTTTTTATTAGTTACTTGAATTAAAAAGAAACCATTAATAACTCTATATTTAGAATTAAACAGAAAAAAATAATTTTTAGATTTCTATTTAATTTATAATGATTAATATTTTTGATCTTCATAGAAACCAAATGAAATTATTTGCCTCAATAAATTGAGATAAATAGTTAATGTTTTTAACTTGAATCTATCCTATTTTAAATCATAGATTTCTATAAATAAAATATTCCATTGATTATGCATAATTTTAATCATTATTACAATAACTTTTATTATTACTTTTGTATCCATTGAAACATTAGCTTTTAATGAATACGAAACTACCAGATAAATATATCTATGAAAATATTTATATAAAAATCAAAACATTTTATTTAAAAAATATTGTTTTAGTTGTTTCAGCAGTAAAATTCATTATGAGAAACACAATCATATGTAAAATAAAATATATACATTTTTTTACATATAAGTACAAATTTTATGTATGTATAATGTGAGCCCGAGGGTTTTCAGGGCGTAAATTTTTGTGTTTAACATTTTTTTAACATTAGAGGATGAAAAAAAATTATTGCAAGTTCCCATGGAAATAGATCGGATGTCGACTCTTACACATTGACAAGATAGGAAGGAAGAAAGACAAGTCATTGCACGTCTGCCAATTAGTCATCGTACGCGTGCTAATTAGTCATCATAATAAGTGAACGTCCAGTTGGCTCAGTGCCAACAACGATCATATAAAAACGATCATCACGGGAAGTTCAGGGCAATCGTCTGTCAGAGTGTTCATCCCAGGAAGGTCAAGTACAAGAAGGAGAGTACAAGTGTCTCTCATCCCAGTCCTGTCTGAGAAGAAGCAGGTAGAAGACATAGGACTGTTCCAGCTTCCATAGTCCAGAATGATTGTCACATACTGTCATCTGACAGCATATTAAGATATATCTGAGTGCAGTAACCTTTGTAAACTCTCTCTCTCTCTCGAGGTTAGACACATGGCATAGTGATTAGTTTGATCGCCATTACCGATAGATTTATGTGTTATCCACATTTAAGCATTTAATCATTTAATTCTTTATGTATGCTCATGTAAATTAGATTAGTTATATAATAAACTCCTTCTTTGTTGTTTAAACCTGACTCCTGTTTATCCAAGGAAACCTGTCAACTTACTGACAGACTCCCCATTTGTTTTGCCCTCCTAGCCATCCGAACAACTTCAAGATCAGGCTTTACCAGTCCGTGCGGATTAAATGGTCAGGACAAGATTAAAGTCCAAGCAACTGGTTGCACTTACTAATGGCATAGTACAACTAAATATGTTATATGTATTACAGTAATGAATAGTATTGTACACATACACTACATAACAATAATTTGTATCAGTTAAGTACTGTATAACATTAGCTCATATAATATTCACTCAAAAATTGAAAACTAAACTAACTTTCTGCAGTGCCACCTGGTCTAATATTATCATTCTGATCTCAAATTTATTTATTATATTATTAATTTATAAATAAAAATTAATAATAAAAGTAAAATTAATTTCATATGAAGAATAAAATATTCCTTGGTGCGATTTTTGACAACTATAATAGTAGCTGCCTTTCTGATGTTTCCACGAATTTTGCATCGATAAAATCATAATTGCCCCCCATCTATAAAACTTTTTGGCTCCATCATCGGAACAACTTCCAAATTCCATAAAGCAGTAAAAAGTAAGACAAGTCTTCTAACATCATTTTAAGACGACTCAGTCTTCTTGATTGATATGTTAAGGTCATACACTATTAATCATAATCATCTAACAACATTGTTAAAATAAAGATTGACTTGGAGATGTTTATTGGAGAGTTATATAGTGTTATATATGTGTTTAATTTCATTTACAACTAAAGTGAATGGGCCCATTGACACTTTTGTCTTTTGTGCATCCACCCAGCACAAAAATAAGACATTCCATTATATTTAAATATGTCAAAATTTCCTTTTCATCATGTCAAGATGATTTCTTGACATGATGAAAAGTAAAATGATTTTACAGTCTTTTTTAATGCTAAAATAATTTTTGTAGATTATATGCAGCAACCTACAATTTGTCGTATTGAATGAAATCATATCACATCATATCATCTGTATATTAGACAGGAAATTATGGTAATTCAAATTATATTTTAAGACAAGAAGCTTTAATATAAACATTTATATAAAAAATGTATTGATTTGAATATATCTGTTACTACTATACAATTATTAAAATAGAATTAATATATTCAAATAAAGTTAATTTTACTTTAAAGTAAATTTTTCAAAATCCACATGTACAAGATCTGTTCAAAAAATATGTGAACTGTTTGAATTGCACAGCTCCAGTTGGTTCCAGGGGAATCAGCTTAGTGTCGCTAGGTTTGTACAGATTGTCTGGTAATAAAGCCATTTCCCAAGTACAGATATCTTTATTTGTTGATTAGTTACGTGGTTTTTAGTGAAGTGTGATTTTTTTGTTTGTCGGATTTCAGAATGAATGACCTAATGGAGCAACAACTTGCTGTTAAACAGGTGATGAATCATGGGTTTATGGTTATGACATTGAAAAGAAGATCCAATCATGGTTCCAATCCAGTGGGTGGGTGAAACATCCCCCAGATTCAAAAAAGCTCGCCAAGTTCGATCCAATGTCAAGGTGATGCTGACAGTTTTCTTTGATGCTAAGGGTGTTGTTTACCCCCCATGAGTATCTCCCCCAAGGCTCCACAGTGAACCAAACTTACTACATTGAAGTTCTGAAACGTCTGAGGGATGCCATCTGTCGCAAAAGACCAGAAATGTGGAGGAGTGGCAAATGGTTTCTCCATCATGACAATGCTCCAGCCCATTCAGCTCTCAGAACTTGTGAGTTTTTGGCCAAACACTCGATCACTGTTCTTCCCCACCTCCTACTCACCTGACCTTGTTCCTTGTGACTTTTTCTTGTTCCCCAAACTCAAAAGACCCTTGAAACAAAGAAGATTTGAGACGATTCCCGAGATTAAAGCAAATGCAACGAAGGTGCTGAAGGACATTACAAAAGAAACATACCAGGACTGTTTCAACAATTGGAAACACCATTGGGATAAGTGTGTGTATTGGGAAGGAGAGTACTTTGAAGGAGACCCAAACATGTAACTTCTACATAAAGTACATTTTGTTTAATGACATGTATTTTTTGAACAGACCTCGTAAATAATTTATATACTTACAAGTGCTACTTCTGTATTTCCATAACCATGAAAGTTAACTGTACATTGACCATCTTCTGTAATTTCTTCTATAGTTGCTTCATAAAATCTGAAAATATGTTTCAATATAAGTAAAAATATATAAATACTTATGCAATCAAATAAATAAATTTAAAAAATATAAACATTGATTAACCTGATTTTTAAGAATAATGTCAAACAGTTGCTAGATTATTAATGCTACTATTAATAATAAAAATAATACCGGTGTTTCCCCGAAAATAAGACCTAGCACAGATTTTGCTGAATTGCGAAATATAAGACCTCCCCCTGAAAGTAAGACCTAGCAAAGATTTTTTAGTCGTAACGGTCATCAACAGATGGTTGAAAGTGGCCGTTGGCTTTTTGAAAGTACAGCACTGATTGGTCAGCAGACAATTACGCCACACGGCATGATTTGCATAAGACTATGGCTTGGGAATCACAGATTTGCATAACGATACAGCTGGTGATGGCTAATTGGTCGGCCGGGAATCACGCCACATGACATTTGCATAGTGCTACGGTTCAGTAAGCACTAATTGGTCATCGAGTCCGATGTTGACGCTATAAAAAGGCGACAGTTCGACACACCGGATATACGTCACTCTCGTCTAAGTTCGACTTGGGAATTTTTTTGTTCAATAATAAATGTGAAGTTTTCTTCCTGGAAAATATAAGACATTCCCTGAAAATAAGACCTAGCGCATTTTTCAGAGCAAAAATTAATATAAGACACTGTCTTATTTTCGGGGAAACACTGTAATAATTTAATTATTAATAGTATCATTAATATAATCCAAAAGCCTGGCATTAAATTAAAAAAAATTTTTATTCTTTAATTAGCTAATTTTAATATGCAGTAAACTTTTATGATTATGGTAATGTGAAAAATACATCTTATCCATTGTATGGATCTTCTAGTCCAGTGGTTCTTAAATTTCTTCTGGCCTTGTACCCCTTGGACAGAAGTATGATTCTCTGAGTACCTCTTGTGTAGACTTCTACACATGCATCTCAGATTATCACTGAAGAGCAATGACAATCTGACATGCTCGTGTAGAAGTGCCTTAATTAAGCAAATAAAATTAATTTTCATAATTACACATTATTTCCATAATTTATTGTCTCAAACATAATCAAGTACAACACTTATTATAAAATATTAAAGAATACAAAAAAATTTGTATTTACAAATCTATTTATTAACCAATTTTTATTTTATGCATAAGCATAACCTCAAATAAAAGTTTGAAGTGAAGATTGTTTTTGGTGTCACTGCAGTTGTGAAACAATGGTTTGTGAAGATAAATTTTTTTTATATTCTTCAATGTGTTTTTAATGTGTAAATTACCATCAACCATTTTTAAACTAAAATCAAGTACAACATTGTCACATCAACAAAATGATCATGGTTGTTACATAGTAGCTTACACGTACAGTACACTTAGTGAGAACAACATGCTTAATGTAATGAACAAAATTTTTCAATATTCGGTTTGATTTGAGACAATTTCAATCATAAGCCATGCTCAACTTTAAGTTTATATCTACATTTGGTTTTAAGAGCTGTCAATACAGAAAAACCTACCACTTGCAAAAACAGGAAGTTACAAAAAGCATCAGAATTTTCACAGCAAGCCTAGTCAATTCAAGATATTCTTTCAGTAACTCAGCCCAAAATTGCAACAGAACTTGTCTCAATACGATGATTTTTTAAATTATTGTTTGATGAAATATCAAGCATCTGTTCCTGCTGGATAACTGACAGTCCCAGAAGAGGCATATCAGAATGAAATGGACTCTGTACCCATGAGCATGAATCACAGGATAATTCAGGGAAATTCTCATGCAATTACTGGGTGAGTATTCTCAGCTGCTGCATTACATCAGCCTTCACATTTGAGTCAATAGCTGGACAGATAACTGTGCAATGTTGGAAAGCACTCAAACTATATTCTCTCTGCAAAGCTCATCCAGAAATTAAAGTTCTTTATCATAGCTCTAACTTTGTCATGTGCAGTGAAAAAACGCATCTATCTTGATGCTGCTTTTCCGCCCATTGAGAACAGCCAGAAGTAGCTTCTCTGTACTAATCAATGCACCACAGGAGGACACTGAAGTGTGCAGTTGCAAAGTTAGCAATGTGAACCGTGACAATTATGTATGTATTTTGCTCCATGTGCAATGTATTTTACTTAATCCAGTAGCTGGAAACACCCAAATATTAATTAAATATTGAAAAAATATGATGTTTACAGTAGATGAGGATAGAAAAAAAATTATTTTGAGTTACAGATCTGTAAGAGGAGGTAAAATTACATTGATTTGATAGGACTGGGAAAAAAAATCAATTGTTCCAAGAAATCTGTTTCTACTATAAAACCTTTCCTTAAAAGTTTTTCTAAAAAATACTATAAATATTATACCAACTTATCCTCAACAGCAATATTTCACCAGCTGATTGGCAGCTAACTGATATATCAATCTTTGTGGCTCACCTTTGAAGTAATTCTTACACTGTGTTTTTAATTTAATTCACTAACAGTAGATGGTGTAGCTGAACAGTTTTGGCATATTTTATTTTAAAACATAAGTGACAATAACTACTACAGTTACTATATATATCCAAAGACTTTTTTAGAAAACCCTTGGGTTATTATTCAAAATTCCATTTAGAAAACAAAATGATATAACAAACCAAAAATACAATGCTGCATAATCCAACCAAAAGCATTTTACATCAAAGGAAATTCTAGGGACAGTCTGATGCGGGTAAAAATGACAATGGTCATATGAGCCATTGATTTTGAAAATGGGGCAAGTCCATTTTATGTTATTGCCAAATATTTAATGGTTTGCACTTGAATGGGTTTTAAAATATTTATGCAGTATGGGTTTTATATTTATAGACTTATTTTATATTTTTTGTGATCTTATTTCATGTAAATTTAATATGCAATAATGGTTATCAACATTAGATGAAAAAATTGTGGTTTTGGTATGCAACAATGGACTTACCTCACTTTCAAAAGCAATGATTAGTTGAAAACCTTGATTTTCTTTAAATGGAATATAATTATAACAAAAAATTTGAATATTTTATTTTATTACTTATTTATTTTATTTCAACATTTCATACATCTTTCGGAAAGCTACAATAAAACAAAATATAAATTTAATTTTATATGAAAAAGTGAAGAAAATAAGAAAAAACATTCAGTAATAAGTTGCATGCATATAATTATATTTCTTAGTTTAGATGGTGTAGAGTTTTAAAGTATTCATGATGAATGAGTGGTACATAGGGTAATAAATCCATTATATCTTCGTATTTTTCTTTAGTAATAGGCTTAGTTTTTGCATTTAAAGATGATTATACTATTTTTCTGAAACTACTTGTCCACCTCCGTTTTGGTGATAAATCAAGAGTTTTAAATTGCAAATCTTTCCCATCAATGTTTTATAAAACAATTTATATGATGCATTTCTTAAAATCTTATCCAGAAAATATTCAACCAATTGACAGTTTCTCCATCAGTATTTTTTGTTCTTTTCAAAACTGTTTTCTCCAGAGGTTTAGTTGAATAGAAGTCTTCACTTTTCATTTTATGTACTAAAAATGCATTATGTTTGTGACATTTCTGTATTAATCCTGGGAAATATACTGAAAGTGGACTTGCCACACTTTCAAAATCAACTAACAATGAATATCGTTGACAATATAAATTACAACTAAGAAATTTGCACTGATATTAACCACTTACTAACCTTTAACATGCAGTCTTTTTTATTAACATAATCTAAGCTTTTAAATCACATTAATTGATCTTCATCAGGATTGATCCTGACGAAGATCAATTAATGTAATCAAAAATGTTAGATTACATTAATAAAAAAGACTGCATGTTAAAGGTTAGTAAGTGATTATTTTTAAGTAAGTGCAGTTTGAGAAGAGTAAAAAGTTTTAATATCCTGTGAGCGCTTTTCACATTTATAAACATCGTTTTCAGGTAGCATGTATTTTAAATCTAAATCTTTATTTTTAAACTTGTTATGTTCTAAGTGGCTAATGCTGTTTTTGTTCCAACTTTAAAAACTTGTTCGAACACCTATTTGATCTGGTTCTACTTGGAGACGACATTTATAAATATGTTGAAAGCACTGACAGGATATTAAAACATTTCTTAAAATGTTCTTTAATGCCTTTTTATGTGAATTTTTCTCATAAATCAGTAAAATTGTTGGCGTGACATCCACCCTACACATTTAAGTTAAATGTATTTCAATATTAACCAAAATGACTTTCTACTCAAAGTTACATCAAATTGTTAATGTAGTTTTAATTTGCCCTAACTATATAAAAAAAATGTGACAGATATGTTAATATAGGAAATTTTTAATTAATGGTGTTTGCTATTTTATGAAAAATTCTGCTTATGCAACAAATCTTGGAATGTACTGGTCACATATGGTGGGACCCTACTGTATCAGATTTATAAATAAATAAAAGATACTTTTTTTAATAAAAAAAGTTAATTATTAAAAACAAAAATGTTTTAAACTTTTTATATTCTAAAATAAATTAAATAATATAAAAAATATATAATATAATTGAAATATTAATAACGATATATGATTATTTATATAATACTTACTGTCCATCTTCTGACCAAGGTGCTAAACATCTATCTCCAGGATTCCATTTAGATAATTCTAAGCGAGCTTTCTTTTTGGCACCATGTAGGCTAGATGTTGGAAGAGCATCAGGTTCATTCGCATTTAACAATTCTTTACTTAAATTTAAAACTTCCTGTAAGAAAACTTCAAGAATTAACAATATGTAATTGTTATAAATCCTAAAAAAGTTTAAAATATCAAACAAGGATATTCTTCACTACTATTTTACATAACATTTTGATATTCGGAAGTTTAAATTAATTTTCATAAATTGAAAAAAGAATACAATGTAGTTAAATACTATTTATTCTGTGGTTTAATTGTATCTTTTAAAAATCATTACTGCAATTAAATATTTTTGTATTTTCATAGTTTTTTTTAAAAATATTTTTATCTTTATTTTAAAAAATTCTGGGAAAAAGCTTCTAGTCACACCTCTGATTTAAAAATGTATAAAATATTCAGATTCAATTGCTTCTAAAATTTATACAAACATTCTGATGGAAATAATTGATCATATATTGTAATGACCAAAAATTAACTTGTTCCAGTATTTAAAAGCAAACAGGTTAATAATACAATAATAGATAAATACAATATAGCCTGTCTAAAACAATCTGAATAAAATGAAAACCTACCTAATTTGAAAAATTCTTTGTAATAGTGATTTTCTATGTTAAATTTTAGTAAAAATTGTCCAATACAGAAATGGAAAGGATTTTGAGTATGAAAAATGTAATTTAACCTGAACAAAGTGGAAAATTACAATTCCACTTGTAGACAAATAAGTAAGATCACTTCCAGGTATAACAGTCTCTTTAGAGCATGATACACTGTATTCCAAGAACAATTTCAAACTTTGTCAGAGAAATAAAGATCATATGACAAGGAGTCATTACAGGCTGGGTGTTTGTTAAAATCAGTAAATATTTTTAATCCTTTTACTGGTTTTTGGTGTATTTGTGTGTTTCCATTCCATAAAACCAGATTTTTGAAGTAGTGGAGGTTTCGTTAAAATCAACCAGGGGCAGAATCAAATACTTTTAAGAATTGAAAACTTTCATGAATCAGAATGAACTTTCTAGAATAGTTTTTAAGAACAAACAACAAATGTCATTTGTGGAAACAGTGAGAATATGGTACTGCAGTGTTACCTATTTGCCTTGTACAGATTAATTGGTAACTAACTAGTACCAAGCATTCAAGAACAAGTTAAAACATGGATAATCATAGAGATTGAAGTTAACAATTAAGTGCAGTATTAAAATTTTTTGAAAAGTCAGATTGCAGAATAATTTGGTCTCTTCATTACTGTAATGTGATTAGAATTTCTGACAACAGAAAAAAAAACTCAAAAGAGAAAAAAAAAGCCATTTCAACTTCTTACTCAAGTTGATACTCAAATTGACATTTTTGTTGTTGTGAGTTCATAAGAATTATATATCTGGGAATAATCAAATACATAGCACAAGTTCTTTAAACAACAAAAACTAGTGATGTAACAAATATTCGGTTACTATTCGGTATTCGGCCTATTTTTCGCTATTTGGCCGAATACTGAATACCTAAAAACAGGAGCAAGAAATAACAAAAACACAGTAAATTAATCATTTTGGTATTTAGATTTAATGTTATTGGGTTAGCATTGTTTGTTTATATTTATTTATAACTTATAACATTCACAAAATAAAAAAGAAAATATTAGTCACATGTATTCACAATTTATAATTACAAAGATCAGCACACGTACACACTATTCGTTCAAGAATCATCACACATCTGAGGCTCTGACCCTGCCTATCCTTCTTTTTAAGTGCTCATCTTTGCTCTTCCCTTTCTCTTTCCTCTATCGCTTTAGTCCACGTATGCCTATGCATACATCATAATATGCGCTCATGATACTTTCGATTTGTCACTTTTCCGTCATAGATTTCCCATTTTACAATTACGTGACTCATAGCCTGGTGATAACGGAGAAAATAGACAGATAGGACGTCGGTATAAGTCACAGTTATGATTTCACAGATTCGAAACAGCTTGGTAGCCTGAACGACCCCAGGCTTTTGCCCGTGCACGCTAAATGACTTTCATTACAAGCATTTAGCTTTCCGAAGTCTATAATAACAATTGTTTGGCATTCACGGCCGCGAATTTTGCGCCAATAAGCTGCCTCAACTTGTTCGAGGCAGCTTATTGAGTTGATAACATAATCGACTTGTTCCATTATGTTATCAACTCAATTTCATATTTATTTTCACATTTTCACAGTCCTTCTCTGTTCCTTTTCCGTTATTTACACGTGTAGGTCATTTCGTTGTTATCCACATTTGATATCATCACTTATCACATACTGCCATGACACTATTGTCTGAACTGTCAAGAATTAGCACAATTGGTGAAGCGTAGTGACAGTGGGCCAATAGAGAGCAGGGTGCTTGCCACAATGCGGTTTGCATGCCAATTTTCGTACGTGCGTTAATCAAGCTGAATAGTTTGGCCGAATATACTATTTGTTGCAACACTAACAAAAACTTTTTACAGTTGAAAAGTTCTTAATTCTTGCATTTGCATACTCTCATCTTTAGTTGGAATCACTTAAAATTAAACCTAGTAATAAAATTTTTTAATGTATGTTAAAGTGATTTTACTATAAAAAATGAATGTAACTGTATGATACTTATCTAGTGGTGTAGAAGATTTTAAAAAATTGTAAAACCTATTCAAAATGAAAACCTGACAATGAAAAAAATCTGGTACTATTCAATTTCAGTTTACACAAATTTTACTGTACAGTAGAGCCTCGAAAACTCGGCCTAATGTGGACCTAAGGGTGGCCGAGTTTGTGAAAATGCCGGGTTATCGGGAATGGGGTTAAAAAAGGATAAGTATGCGTGTTTCCTCAGAAAATATTGTACTGTACTTGTATGTATTGTTTGCTTGAGAATACAACAGAGAATAAACTGCCCAAATACCCTTAAACAAAGGAAAAGTACGTACTTTATGAAGGCATAGAGCCTTTACTACATGAAAATGAAAATTAATGAATACATAGTGTACAGTAATTTACCTGATAAGACAGACCTCAGAAAAATACTTTATGAGGCATAAAGCTGTCTATGATGAAAATTAATTATCTAAGGTTATTTTTGCCCTGCCAGGGTGTGGCCGAGTTATCCGGAGTGCCGGGTTATCGAGTGCCGAGTTTTCGAGGCTCTACTGTATTAGTAAATTTCAAATATCAAATTCAATTAAAATTTTGTGAACCCCAACATAGAATTCAGATTTAAGTTTCACAAATAAATACAGTATATACAGTCTTGTATATGCTATTATGCATAAAATATTTTGGATCCAACTATGAACGTTTCTATTCATTCAGTAAACATATTGAAATATTTCATTTGCAAATGATTTAGAATTTCTGCAAAAGTTTATTATTATTACTTCAAAATCATACATTTTTATTTCTGATAAGTTCTTGAATTTTATCGATAAAAAAATTTTTTTTGCTTTTTCCAAAACCATGCCTTCTTTTATTTGTTAGTCTTAATCACACAACTAGGTGCACAGGTAGGCACTAGGCTTTTTTACATCACTCTTTATTATGCAACATCTTAGACACCAATATGCGTTTCAAGCATATGCCCCTCATCTGTCAGCTACAGAATAGAATTTGAACATATCAGTCATATTACAAATTTACTTTAATAGTTATTTACAAATGTACCTTTATCTTATGGACATTTGGCATAGTAGTGCAAACTATTATACACAGTTTTAAATTAAAACACATGTATACATATATATCTACACTGTTAAAATTATTGTGACTTAGTACATTAAACAGCACTCACCCAATCTCTGGCACTACTAGTTTCTATCAGGTTTTCCTTAATCTCATTCCTATACACTTAAAAATTATAAAAAATATTTTTCTTTGTTTTTTAATTCAATAAAATATTCTTTTTTTCATATTTTTATGTTATACATTTTAACATACAAAAAATTTTTTAATACTTTAACCTTTACTAAGCTTTTACAATTAAATTTTCTTTTTACCAATTCTCTAATTTACATGTTAATAATTTTTAACGTTTACAATTTTGGATATAGAATTATGTTTAAAATTTCTGATTATAATTTAGTTATACAACAGTTTTTTTACAGAATTTTTAACCAATTTTTGTTGATCTTTATGCATGAATTTTTGTTAATATTGTTTTGACTTTTTATAATTTCAAAACATTCCTTAAATTTTCTGTTGTACCAATTCTTTTCTTTGTGCAAAATTTTTACTTTCTCTTTGTCAATACTACAGTTATTCATTGTACAGTGTTCATAAAAAACTGAGTTCATTCTTCTATATTTCAAATTGGCAACATGTTCTTTTAAGCCATGATCACACTTTGCAACTTCCAACCATGCAGGAAACTGCAACCGCGACTAGAAATAAAAAGTTTGTTCTACTCGTGCCAATTGCAAATACACATCCAATCAGCAAATGCCTTTCTGTCACGTCATATGGTGACAACATTGAAAATAGATCATCATCATGGCGGAAAGTTAGAGGATTGATATTTTTAGAGAATCGAGATTGATTGAGCTTATTCAGGCTCACCAATGCCTGTAGGATTTTAATTCTTTGTTTTATCAAAGATTTTATCTCTTCATGTATTCTCGCCAGCTCTATTAAACTGATCACCTTTTTTTCTTTTATTTATTGCAGAAAAGGAACTGCTTGCCATTTTAATAAGAAAAGTGGCTAAAATTTTGTAAATACTCTGAAGTAGAATGTAAACTGTCGATAAACTCACAAAAGTAATCAAAAACAAACTACTGTAATTTTATTGGTTTATTATAGGGTCACATGTTTCAGAGTTGCAATGCCAGCAAACAATTTGTGACCACAAGAAGACATGCACGACTCGCGCTTGTTGCAGTTGTGATTGCCTGCATAGCTGAAAATCGCATGATGTGACCATGGCTTTAGTCTTTCACCCACTTTCCTTTTAGTTTCTCCTATGTAATATTTCAATTTTTCACAAATACATGGTACAAAGTAAACTGTATTTGTTGTAATGTATATATTTTGCATCTTACTTCTTCCTTCAAATTTGCATCTTTGTAGTCTCTTCTGCAGTTTTTTGTAAGTTGGGCCAGTTTTATATTTACCTTATTAAAGTTAAATTTTTTGTATGTTAAAATGTATAACATTTAAAAATATGGAAAAAGACTATTTTATTGAATTAAAAAATAAAGAAAAATATTTTTTTTAATAACTTTTTAAGTGCATAGGAATGAGATTAAGGAAAACCTGATAGAAACTAGTAGTGCCAGCAAATGGGTGAGTGCTGCTTAGTGTACTAAGTTGCAATAATATATATATATATACACATTTTAAAACTGTTTAATAGTTTGCACCACTACACTAAATGTCTATAAAATAAAGGTACATTTGTAAATTACTATTAAAGTAAATTTGTAATATGACTGATATATGTTGAAATTCTATTCTGTAGCTGACAGATGAGGGCATATGCTTGAAATGCATATCAGTGTCTAAGATATTGCAGAATAAAGAGTGATGTAAAAAAGCCCATGAAAAGAAATGTAAAAAGAGTGATGTAAAAAAGCCCATGAAAAGAAATGAAGCTGGAGGAACTACGAGAGACAACAAGGGAAAGATCAAGATGGAGAAGACTTGTCCATGAAGTCACCAGGAGTCGACGACGACTCGATGGAACTTAACAACAACAAAAAAAGCCCAGTGTCTACCTGTGCACCTAATTGTGTGATAAAGACAAAAATAAAAAAAATTGTTATTTAAAATTTATAAATGGTAATATTTGTAGTTATTTTCTATATTTCTAATTATTATTTTTTTAATTTATGAAAAAATAGTATTATGAAAAAAATAGTATTTTGCACAAAAAAATCTAATCTAATGAAAATATTTTATATAAAGCAGAACTACAATAATAAGAAATATCACCATGACTATTTAATGGGTATAGCATTCCCATCTTCATTACATAAACATAATCCATCTTATAACAGCAATTATATTCAGCTTTATTAGAAAATAGTGCGAGAATGATATTAAATACAACCACTCTTATCAAGTTCAGACTAATTTGATAATATTTTATTTTTTAAATATATAACCAGAAAACTAATTTTATAAATTCCACAGAAATATCACACAGGATAAAAAAAATTATAAAACTTCTACAGCTGTTCCAATTTTCAAGAAAACTGATTTATAGTTCAAAAGTTTTATACAAAAAGAAAAATAATAAAAATAAAATAAATCATTTTATTAAATAAAAATTTTTAAAAAATTAACACAAAACAAATACAGTAATACCCCAAACTTGCGCAATAGGTGAGACCGAGTGATAACCGCATAAGTCTAATTCGTGTAAGTCGGGGTATAATTTCGCAATTTGTGTAAAATCCAAGTCGGTTGTATATAAGCTAATAAATGTTCTCGTTAATCTTATCTCGTCTTTTGATTCATTCACAGTTACAAGAAATCACCACATAGAGTCTCTCGAGTCTCCGTAGATATAACAAACACAGAAATAAATAACACAAAATAAATTGTAGCTATGTGTCGATTCAGCATGACACGTCCAAACATGTAAGCCGAACAATAGTGTGGAGGAGTGAGTAATCAAGAGTTGTATGGCGCTCAAACAAAAGACAAATCGATGAGATTTGAAAATCGCGTAACTCCGGGTTCGCGTAAGTCGGGGTAGCGTAAGTCGGGGTATTACTGTACATTGACAACAAACTTGCATATTTACACACTGATAAACTATCTGATTCAGGCATCATAATATATTGCTACATAAACACATCAGATGATATATTAAGTATTTGTCATATTAAAAAATTTAGATGTACAGTACCGTATATTAACCCTTCTTTGTCCATATCATAATAGTGAAAGTATTAATACCTAAAATGTCATTGTTTACAAATTCCAAAATAAACTTTTGTGCATACCATTTCTTTGACACCTCCCTATCATATTGTTAACAGTCTTTTTACCATTGATATCAATTAACAAAAAAAACTGATGTTCTTATTATAATAATATTTCATTACTTAAACTTTCACTATATATATTTGAAAATGAATAAGTAATTTGAAAACATTTTGTATAGTTTTATTTTAAATATTTTTTATGAAATATTTAAATCTGTCCTTTTGTAGACCATATTTATTACAAAGCTAATTTAAAAGATTACTCTTTATAAAATAAATGAAAAATTACTGATAAAAATTTTTAAATACTCACAAGAAGATCCTTTTTAAGCTTTAGAAGTTCTTCACTCTCTGGTTCTGTGGTCAAAGCAGCTTCAACCTGTATAGAAAAAATATATTTTAACTCAATATTTAATAAATATTAAAATCAAGAAATGCGTAACTAAAGAATAAAAATAATCTAGACAATGAAAAATAATTATTCATATCAAATTACATTTAGTTATTAAATAATGATTAGTAGTATAGTCAAGAAGGAAATTGAAATAGATTTTTTTGACAGTGATCAAATAATTTTACAACAATCAAACTATAATAAAATGATTCAATGTATGATAAATATGAAGAATTTTTCTTTGCTGCCAACTAGAATACCCACAAATGAGCATGAGTGATAAGTTAAGCCAGTGATTCAATGCATTTTAGACAACTTGCATTTATCATTTTAATAACATTTTGATTTGCTTAAAAATATCCCTCAGCCAAGATTGCTTGCATTTGCAAAAATACATAAAGAAGGTAAAGAGTTTAGACCCGTGGTTGAGAAGTGCAGAGGACCCACATACAATCTTGAAAAACATTTACATAAATTTATTTCAGAGGAGCTAGGTAACAATGCTCTTGTTGCACAAAATCCAATGAATGTAGCAAAAGAACTACAGGAATTAAGTTTATTGGATGAAGAAGTTGGGACGATTATGGATTATGAAAACCTATATCCATCTATAAAAACAGAATCCTGCTATAAAGCATTAATGGAATTTATGCTCCACAAAAAACCATAAATTGCTGCATTTATGAAAGATATGACAGAATTAGCCAAATTGATTTGTTATGAGTCCTTCTTCAGTTTTGATAAACAAGCTTACAGACAAAGAAAGGGGTACCTATGGGAACCCAATGTCAGGATTATTGTGTAAACTAGTCCTATAGAACTTGGAGAAGAGCATTATCAATGGGTTCAAGATGGATATTGTATTTTACAAAAAGGTATGTAGACAATGTATGCATTATTTGGAAAAACGACAAGAGAATACAAGAGTTTGTACATGTAATCAACAATAACAACAGAGATGGATTAAAACTTAAACTAGAGCAAAAAAGTCATGAACAGATACATCTTTTGGATATAGACATCCAATTGAAAGGAGATAGTATAACAACAGGTATCTACATAAAACCAACACATAGTCCACTATACATTCCGGCTAACTTGTACAACCCCTACAGATAAACTGTCCGCCTTTCGAGCACTCATCAGAAGAGCGTATTCACATTGCTCTAATGTGCTGGACAGGATTAAAGAACTTAATAGAATTAAAGAAACAGCTTCAATCTTGGGATATAAAAAGAGTACAATAGAAGGGCTAATTAAAAGTTATGAAGGAGGCAATGTAATAAGAACCCAAGCAAGTCAGTTTAAAAATCTCCAAGTTCACATATAATCGAATCATCAAGAACATCATGAAACAAGTATTGGACAGAAAACACTCAAAAATGATTTCAAAAGAGCACCTAATATATACAGTATTTTAAGAAATGATAAAGATGTGATTAAAAAAGAAGAAAAAGCAGGCGTATATAAAATTCTGTTTGAAAACCAGGAATTAGGAATTAAGAAGGACTACATTGGGAGTCACAAGAAGGAATTTGGCTACCAGACTTAAGGAGCACAAATATGATATTAACAAAGGGCACTGCAACACAGTATTATCCTGTATGGCACAAGCAGAGGACTCTGTGGTTAAATAGAATGAAGTGACTATCCTCAGGACTATGCATTCTCCATCATTGGCAATGCACGAAGAAAAAATCAAAATATATAAAAGTAAATTAAAAGATGGTTATATTAACGCCAAGGATGCAGTGGGACTAGCTTTCGCATGAAAATTCTACATAAAATAAAAATAAAAATATTATTATTATTGCGTAACCATTTAATTGCACGTGAAAGGTTCTCTTTAAAGCAATATACTTGCGCATTATCCTTTCGGTTCTTAAGTTTGCATGTGGCCATCCATCTATAATATTCCTTTCGTACAGTTGACAAGCCTTGTATCAGTCATTCATAAATGGTTATGCAATAATAATATTACAGTAATCAAAGCTGATAAAACCAAAATGTTGGTCTTAATGAAAAGGAGACGCATGAATACATCAATGCTACCAGATGCGTCGTACAACAAAACAACGTTATCGACAAACTACACAACAAGGTTAAACGCTTATCTAACTCTAAACTGGCCACAGCTCTTGGAATGCGGGATATAGTTATGGACGCTCCGGATACGCCCAAGCTTTTTGCTTTTGCTAAGACGCATAAACAAGGCCACAAATTGAGACCTGTAGTTGATAAAACCACAGCACCCACGTGCAAATTAGAAGCATTCTTGCACGATTTCATCACTCCAAAGTTACAAGATTACCGATACTCCATCTCCAATCCGACAGAGTTAATAGTATTCCTGAAAAACACCGAAAAGCCCGCGTACATATCGGTTATGGATTTCCATTCTTTATATCCATCAATTGAATTACCACCATGTTTTTGCATACTCCAAGATTTTCTATTACAAAACGTCTATTCTCAGAAATTACACCAACAGATTCTTGAAGTAGCACATTTGATTTGCTACAACTCAATTTTTCAATTTGAAGGAAACACGTATGCGCAGGGCAGAGGCATACCTATGGGAAGTGCCGTCTCAGGCGACCTATGTGAACTGGTAATCAGACAACTGGAAAATAAAATAATTCCGAGATTCAGCCACGACATCATATTGTACAAGCGATACATAGACGACATCATTATTTTATGGAGGCACGAACCTAACATTACCCTCTTTGTGAATAGGATGAACAACAATCCGTATGGCCTTACCATAGAACTTGAGCAACATAGTGAATCCGAGGTACATTTTCTTGACTTGAACATTGCATTTGGAGGAGACACCATATACACATCTGTCTACCGCAAATCTTGTCACCTCCCAACGTATATCCCAGCGAACTCCTGTGATCCGTTCAGATATAAAATGGCGGCATTTAGAGCACTGGTTAAGAGGGCCTACACCCATTGCTCAACACAGGATACTTTGATTCAAGAATTGAACTATTTGCATAACATAGCTAGTCAACACGGATTCAACACCATGGTCCGTAAATTAGCACAACAATTCACCAACAGCCTCCCACCTACTCCTCCACAGAACAGTGTAGAACGAGATCACGACTTGTTCCAGTCACATACAACCCGTTCCTAATATCCCTGTATCAAAAAATAGCTAAAAAACAAGGAGTACGCTTAGCATACAGAAGATGCCTGTCTATGTTTAAGCTTCTACGCAATGAAAAAGATAAACCTAACAAGTATAAGCTACCAGGGGTATGCGCTGTCCCACTCACGGACCATAGATTTGAGAGGGAACTGGTCTACATTGACGCTACTAAACGGGCTATTGGTGTCAGATGGACTGAACACCGACGGGACATCCTCCACAAAAGGGGTTCTACGTCATTATCCATATATGCGTCAGACCCGGAGATTTCGGCAAACTTCGACAACGCCAAACTCCTCATTACCACACCGTTTACGGACCACCTCAAATGGTTGGAACAAATGGAAATTTGCAAAGCTTACAACACTTCTGCACCTATTAACTCGAGGGATGAGATTACATGTCCCTAGCATGGCAGGCCCTACTGCAGAAAGAGGATTCACATTAATAAATATGTATAGTAAATAGGGTTTTAAAACATCATACTCGCTGAGATGCTATTTTTTTATTTTTAATTATTTATTTTCTT